CCCCCCCCCCCCCCCCAAAGGAAGCAAAGCTTTCTCACTCTAAAGAGAGAAGAATAATGAAAAACATGAAATCGAGAGCGCTTCTTTTTTCCCCTAATGATTTGGCTTACCATTATAAGAATTCAGAAGCTTTCGCACAAATCAAAAGCGAGCCTTTCTTGATCCTTTCCTTCTTTGTTACATTCCGGAAAACAAAACCACCATAAAAAATTTGTACTTTTTTTTACACCAAATAAAATATGAGGAAATAATATCCGAGTATGGTGAGAACAAGCAGAGAGGAACAGAGACAGAGGGGGAGAGAGCAAAAATCAAAGAATATATATTTAGAAATGAAAATTAAAAAGAGAGAGGGGAAAAAAGGACAGAGAGAGAGTGCATAATCATGTGGGTGAAAAAAGGGACAAATGTCAAATGTTGAGGGGGGGAGAGAGAGAGAGCATATCCCTCCCACTTCTCCTCTCTCCGGACCCCGAAAACCAACGTGTCGTTTTCCCACATTCCTCTACGTATTACGAAGCTATAAGTTCCAATATGACCAATGTATATACGTATAACGCATTCCAATATACGTATATACACTCGTAATTTTGGTTTCAAGTTTCAACTCATTACAGTCGCTCAAATTCAGATGGGCCACAGGTTTATAATTACGGGAGAGCCGTATCCCAACAAATCTCTGTTGGTTTGGTTTGGTATTGAATTTTTGGTTAATTTAATTGTTATTTTTGACTTCGATTGAAGTCAGATATAAAAATATATGGATATTCGCTGTCAAGTTACTTGTAAATTAATTATTCATCTTGAACCAAGCTTTTTCTTATTTCCTCTTGGTTTGAAATCAATTTGACTTAAAAAAAAATATTTATTTTCAATTTATTAATTCAATTGTTTCCATCGTTCAGTTTAAATTTAAAATTTTCAATTTTATTAAATTTATAACCATTAAAGTTTTATATAGAATCGGTACAAGCGAGCCAAAATGGTCAACCCAATACAAAAGCGGTAAAAAACAGTGAAAGTGTTTGAGACAGTAACTTAAAGAAACGGATGAGGTTGGTAAACTGCCACAAGAGAAGGCAACATTACTACAGAGCCAACCTGGGCAGTTCTTCAATGGGCAAAGTTACTGCAGAGTGATTTTTTTTAATCTTCTAATGTTTCTTTTTTCTTTCTAATACACAGAACAATAAGACAAAACACAACATGGTAATATCTCCCTCAAACAATGTTTAGGAGTCTTCTTCTTCTTCTTCTTGACTTCTTGCTGTACATTTTTAAAGATGGATTTATGATTGATTTGATACCTGAAACTTCCCGAGTTTCGATTCGTTTTGTTACTTATTTCATGTTATCATCGGATCGTCCAGTGATGAAACCATCTGCGTTTCATCTGTGTCGCCGCTTCTCCGTCCAACGGTGTAACCAGACATGGACTCATCTGCACGTAGACAGAGGTTCAAGTTTCCACTTTTGAGTTAAACAAAATGTACTATCCACTCCGACAAATCCGAAATAAATTCAAACAGATAATGATGCAGGATTCGATAACGGAACACGGAATTCACCTGTGGTGTGTTCCATAGACATGCTTCTTTGGATATCTGCAGGGGAGAGGAGACCAAAAAAAAATCATAGTCAGTTTCCTCCATATGCTTAAAAAATGATGAATTGAACGATGTATGTAGAGCACATCATTGTCTCTTTCATGATTCTAACTCTTGGTATGATGAGTAAACAAAATTGAAAAACTTCCCGGGTGAATGCGCTAATCGTGATCCGAGTTTTGAGAATGTAGATTTTTTAGGGTTTAGGGTTTTTACCAAGGGAATGACGCAACCCTTTAACAGCATCAAAGTTTTTGTATGTGTAGCCGACGAAACTTAAATCCTTGGGCGTTAAATGCATCTGCACAAAAAGATGAAAAAGGCTCTGAGTAAAACACCGAAACAGTATGGTCAATTCCATCAACATCATTTCGAGATACTTATATTCATGAACGGTAAAAGTAAACCAACAGAGAAATTCACTGCACTTACCTTCCTGGAGGGTCCTGAGCTAGTTCTGGCAGGTGCAGGAGAATTCACCTGAGACCATAATAAGAGGTTAATGAGGCTCACTCATGACAACACATACGATGCAAAAATTCAATGCAAGACCGAGATGGATCGCATTGTAGGTCATCTTTTATCAATGCAACATACGGACAAATAAATTTCCACCCTCGTAACATCGTCTTTTTCTATAGCAAGAAGAGGTTTCCCATCGCAAGAATACATACGTTTTTTAAACGGAATATATCATCCAAATGTTTGTAGTGGCAGTGGATATAGTAAACACTGTGGTACCACGGCAGGATAAGTAACACAAATACAGTGGATTGTAAAAATGACTGCGGTACCACGGCAGGACAAGTAACTCCTAGGAAGTGCTAATAATGATACAACCTAAGATCCCTTAAACTAATATGACAGAGATTCAACTGTCATGGAAGGAAACATTCTTCAAAGAATGCGGGAAGAAAAGGAAGAAGAAAGACTAAGTGACATACTTCATCAAACTTCATAAAGTTTTGGGTGTCTAGCTCGTCATTCACTGCGGGTTTATATGCTGCCTCCATTTCATAGAGCTTGTCCCAAGCAACATCTCTAAACCAAGGATGAGCCTGATAAAAAGTTAAGGTGCCGGTTAATAAAGAAAGGAGAGAGAACCTATATCGTAAGTATCAGGTACCTTTCGAAGGAACATCCTTACCTTGATCTGGTAGGCTCCTCCAGTACCGAGCCTATGGTCAACATCGCACAGCAATCTGTAGATAAGATCTTTTGCCTCAGGTGATAACTGTGCATCCTCAGGAAATCTCAAGTGATTTCTCCAGTGAACAATCTAGAAGAAAGAACCAAAAGGAATTGATGAATACCAAATATTAATCTGCTGTTTAACAGACAAAATGCCTAATTTTCTTTTATATCCCTGTAAAACTATAAATTCAAAAGGACTTGACTATTAAGAAAATTTTGACGCAAAATCGTCTCAAAAGAACATCAGAAGTGAAAACCAGTAGTTTTAACATTTTGCACAGAATTAGCGTGTGAAAAAATGGTTGCCCATTTTACACCTTGTGATATTGATTATTCAGAAAAAAGTAGAATAAAAAGGAAAATAAGATGGTTGTAAAAATAAAATAAGATAAAAAGCCAGAAAAAGTTGAATGACGTGATAGCAACCTAAGAAATGCACTGTGGTGGAAAAAAGAAAGCCTAATATTCAGTTATACTTTCATTTTGTTTACAAACAAACAAATTCTTGAAACCCCACAGATTGAAAGTCTGAAACTCTATAAGGAGTCAACTCGCTAGATATCGAACAGAACAATAAGATGTATTACCTTTCTGCATGTTGTTATCGGGTCATCTGCATAGAAGGGAGGATACCCAACAAGCATCTCGTACATAATCGCTCCTAATGACCACCTAAATGAAATAATAAATGGAAGTCAAATACAAGCAAACACCAGCTAGAGAAGTTCTGGGAAAAATACAAGCCATTCAGAAATTTCTGAACTAGACTTGGTGGCCGCACAAACACCGAAAGTACAAATTAAATCTACTCAAAGATGAAAAGCAAGAATACGAAGATGTAAAATGATAAGTTAGAAGCTAAAAACACTTACCAGTCACATTCCATGCCATATCCTTTCTTCAGCAACACTTCAGGAGCAATATAGTCAGGCGTTCCAACAGTCGAAAATGCCTTCCAGAAAAGGATAAATTAATTAGGGTGCACTACTCGAAGTTGTTTGCTGATCAAATGTAGACGAAATGAAAGTTTGATACTGTTTTCACATCAGGAAAGAAAAATATCTGATAACTAGTTGTAACTCTCCTTCGTGCCATTTTTTGTTTATCAACATGCTTAGGCAACAGTCAGTTTACCAAAATCAGAAGTGCAGGGGAGATGTTTCATATAATTCAAATGATTGACTTAAGATGAATACTAATCTAACACTAAACAGACTATACTCCTCGCATTATCGCTTTCTTACTGCCGGAAGAGAAAGTATTATACAACACTTTATAAGCCATGACACTAAATGTATATTCATATAAAATTTGTCAGCTTTTTCCCCTTTTCTTCCAGAAGCAGGGGATGATAGAGTTGTGTTCTAATCATGAAAAAGAACCACATACCAGTTTCCTTCGATTCATCTGCCAATGTTGAAGTTGTTCTTGGGGAGTACGCCAACTGCTCTTGTTATCAGCGTCAGGAAAACATCCATCAACATCCATTGGTTCCGTAATATTTTCATCATCAATGGCCCTGTTCTCCTGAATTGAAGATAAAGTTCTACAATCAAGAGGCTTACAGAGCCCAAAATCCGAGAGCTTCATGTGCCCATCTTTGTCCAAAAGAAGATTATCAGGTTTGATATCCCTGCAAACAAAGCAAAAAAAAAATGAGATCAACCAAAACCCGCTAATGAACATCAACCATTAGAACCAGAAACATATCCGAAAAGCTAGGTAACATCCAATAGCAACCTATGGATATAGTTGTGTCTGTGTATTGATTCAATGGCCAGGACACTTTGAGCAATATAAAATCTGGCAACATCTTCA